AAGGATTTTAATATTGGATAGTTATATTCATATTCAATAACATATAGTTCTAAATAAAAAATAGTCCTTAATATAGGTATTATAATCAAAGTTATTATCATTTTCTAATTTTGGATAAGTTAAGCAAAACCTCTTCATGCCAAGAATAGATAGACCGATTAAGATAAAATTTTAATATTATGATCAAATATTTTTTACTTATGCAACATAAATAACACAAATATATTTATTATATTATAAATTATTGTATATTTATATATACTTTTGTTGAAACTTACTTTTAAACGATAAATTTCTTTGACGTGCACCACAATCAACTAATCAAAATCACCAGACGTTTTCTATATATTCCACTATAGTGCCAAAATAGACCTGAAATTGAAACAATAGGTATAGTTCAGTTTTAAATGCCAAATGTATATATTTTTATATTTAAATATCTGTTCATGTATCTTATATAATAATAATTAATAATCGAATGCTACGCATACATAGTATTTGGAAGGTATAAAGAATTTAATTTGTTCTAATAAAGATTAGAATTGAACAAAAATTACCTTCGCTATTCACTAACTTTTTCTAAAATGTTCTGGAATCAAATATCAAGTCTTTAATTATATTCGTAACAGCCACATTTTCTAAAAAAATTAGACGATTGTTCTTGTCGATCCAAATATTTTACTACTTTAATAACTTTGATCGTTATAAATGTAATAAATAAAGACATATAATTTTTGGTTTAAGAATTAAGTCTATCGAATAGAACTTAAAAATATCCAATAGAAATATATATCACACATTCAAATCACATCACATTCTAGAAAGACATATTGTTAGTGAATAGCAAAGACAATTTTTGTTTGACTCCGGTCGGAGTCTTTATTTGAATAAATCAAAAATCTCAGATATTTATCATTATTACTTTACTTTTGACCCATAATTTTAAACTTTTTATTAAACAATTTCATTAAACAATTTTATTACTCGAGTCGTTTTCAAGTCATGTATATGGTTTTACTTAAAAATTTCAGAAACTTAACCTCTTTTGAACACAAAATATGTATTTTCTTCGTATCTATTAAGCTATCGATATTTCATGTGACTTATCGTTTTCGTATTTTTATATATTAATTATAAGCATTGTACATACCTTTTACGTGAGACAAAAATATCTTCAGCAAACAAAAATGCGTTTATTGAAGACAAAGATATACTGCACTAATATACTGCACACTGCACTGTCCCGGCTCTCGGCGTCCCGGTGTCTGCGGCAATCATTTCGCGGCAATATACGGTTAGATTAGGTTAGGTCAAATGCTTCAAAGCATTTCTAGTGTTTTCCAATCGCAGCCATATACGATGCTCATTTATTAAATGAAGAAGTCTCAGAAACCTCTCAGAAAACTTGCATTTGTAATGTTGCAAAATATTATATTGCAAGAACATTTCAAATGTAAGGTTTCAATCAAAATGATTGCAGAAATATTGCAATTTGCAATATTTCAAAAAAAATGATTTCAGAGACATCACAAATGTGATGATACACAATTGAGACATTGAAACGTCCCTGCAACATAACTGAAATCTTCTGTGCTATCAGGGTAGAAACTGTTTTGCTAAATATAAAGTTCTTCAAAATAAGAACAATGAAGAGATACGATATGACTTTGTGGAAAAGTTAATATACGTACAAGAAAAATATGGGCTACATATAAATACCAAAGTTAGACTTCGACACTTAAATTGGCAGAACGAAAAAATGAAAGTTTGTCTCGCTGTCCAAGTTTTAAGTAATAGTGTATCAATTGAAATACAGTACCTGCGAAAATTTATTAAACTCCCAGAAATCGCAAATAGTGAAACAACAGAAGAGTTCTGCATAATCTTTAATGATATTTTTGATCCGTTAAATTCTCGAAATAAGTTTTGTACTACTCCATCCAGACGACTTATTACTACGGAAAATTTACTAGAAATAACACAAAGAATTAATTGTTTCATAGATTATATATCTTCTTTGAAATATCAAGGAATTTCAATTTTACGTTCAAAACGCAAAACTGGATTTTTTGGATTAATTGTTACTTTAAATAGTGTTGTAGAAATATTTAAGAATTGGATACAATCAAATAGTAATATGTCGTATTTTTTAACATATAAATTGTCGCAGGACCACTTAGAATTATTTTTTTCTGCAGTACGAAGTCATTGCGGTCGCAATAATAATCCAACTTGTACAAAATTCATGACAATATTTAAACAATTGCTAACCCATGCACAAGTTGGTAGTTCGAAATATGCGAATAGCGTTGCTCAGGATGATACTATCTTTTTAAACATTACTTCCACTAATATACATAGAGGTATTGATGATATCTGTATGACTGACGAAAATCACACTGAAGATTTGAATAATAACAATATTAATCATGACCACCAGTTATTTCACACACGCTTTATTTGAAATAATAAATAAGGATTATATTGACGACGTACTTGGTTATATTGCTGGATTTATAGTACGCAAAATATCAAAAGACATATCATGCAATGTATGTTTAACTCTCCTACACAGTGACACAACGTATTCAGAATTAATACGTTTAAAATCAAGAGGTGGTTTAATTAATGCATCTGCTGATGTAATATCTCTGTGTAAATTAGGTGAAATTAGGGAAAGTAATATTTTTTCTCAACACAAAAACCTTTTACAATATCTCTTAATGAAAACTTTACGAAAAGTAACAAGTGTTATTTTTTATCATAAGGATCACTGTTTTGAACAAAGTTATTTAAACGATCATCGATTTCAATTAATAAAATTAGTTCTTATTAATTTTTTAAAAATCAGATTGCATCATGCAGCCAAAACAAAATCTGCAGTTGTAACAAGAATTAGAAATAAATTAACAAAAACAATTTTATTTATGCATCAATAGATATATAATACAAAATTGTTTGTAACAATTGTAACTGTGTACCAGGTATATAAATATGAAACCGGAATTTTTGTATAGAAAATACACGTTTATTGTATGAAAATGATAAAAAATATTTTATTCGAAGTATTGCCCATTGCTAGCTATACATTTTACCCATCTCTCTGACAATTTATGGATGCCACGCCAAAAAAATTGTTGCTCCTTTGAGGCAAACCAGTCATTGAGCCATTTTTGTACATTTTCGTAAGAAGTGAAGTGCTGCTCAGCAAGTGCGTGTCCCATCGATGCAAATAAGTAGTAATCGGATGGAGCCAAGTCTGGTGAGTAAGCCGCATGCGAAAGTATTTCCCAACTAAACGCCTCAATCGTTTCCTTGACCGGTTTTGCTTTGTGTGATGGTGCATTATCATGAAGCAAAATCACTTTGTGTTGCCTTTTTTGATATTCTGGTCGTTTTTGACGCAAAGCTTGATTCAAATCGATCATTTGTTGTCGGTAGCGTTCAGTATTAACGGTTTCGCCAGGTTTTAGCAGCTTATAATAGATCACACCCTTCTTCCACGTTCTTCGTTTCTCACGTCAAAATCGCCACTTTTGAATTTTTTAAACCATGCTCACCGTAAGCTTCGACAAGAATTCGATGCGATTCTGCAGCAGTTTTCTTCAAATGGTAACAGAAACTCAATGCTGTCCGCAAATCGTAGTTTCCAGGCACAAAATTCGACATGACGGGCTTTAGAACATATATAAATAGAAGTGGAATAGCAAGCTGAAATGTGTCCGAAGGAAGTAAGAAAATAAATCGTAGTTGCCTCTCTCTTATGAGTAACTGCTCGAAAGTGCGCATGCGCGCCATTTGTTCATGCATACAAGCATCGTATCCATTGTATCTGTAGATATACATGTTTTAACATGTGACTAATGTAATCTTAAGCCTATCACACACAAATTGGCATAGCTGCATATGCATAGCATAAGACCCTCTGGACCAATGAGCATCGAAATAAAACCGCCATATTGATTTACATAGCATGCTCATTGGTCCAGACGGTCTTATGCTATGCATATGCAGCTATGTCAATTTGTGTGCGATTGTTACGTCTCCATAATGCGCTTTTCTTACTATAACTCAGTTAGTGAGAAAAGGATAGCTCTCTATTTTTTATAGGGCAACCTGTTTCCACCGGCTATACCCCAGGGACGCCGAAAGCTAGGACACATCTGGTGGATTCTAGGGGAATGACGTTAGGCACGGAACTAACCTTTACTAGAGTAATTTTACTTGATGTTAATGCTAGGGATATGAGCATGCGCAATTAGATATATTCAATTTTGAGGGTCTTCAAGGTTTTCAAGCAGAGCAATTAGTTGATCTATATCCAAATTGCTGTCTAGAAAATCGGTAATAAGTCCAGCAGAGGGATTTTATCGATTACGGATAAAAGTCCTTTATTAACATCAATACTAGATCCTGTACGTTTCATACGATTCTGAATTTTAATTTAAAGGGAAGGTCTAAGGCGTAGAAAAGGGGTCAGTCTAGAGCATACTTTAATGCTCGATAGACGAAGGATGCCTAGGGCACAGTATGTGCTCTGTAGACAAAGGATATCTAGGGCACGGTATGTGCTCAGTAGACGAAAGATGCCTAGGGCACAGTATGTGCTCTGTAGACAAAGGATGTCTAGGGCACGGTATGTGCTCAGTAGACGAAGGATGCCTAGGGCACAGTATGTGCTCTGTAGACAAAGGATGTCTAGGGCACGGTATGTGCTCAGTAGGCGAAGGATGCCTAGGGTACAGTATGTGCTCTGTAGACAAAGGATGTCTAGGGCACGGTATGTGCTCAGTAGACAAAGGATGTCTAGGGCACAGTATGTGCTCAGTAGACGAAGGATGCCTAGGGCACAGTATGTGCTCAGTAGACGAAGGATGCCTAGGGCACAGTATGTGCTCAGTAGACGAAGGATGCCTAGGGCACAGTATGTGCTCAGTAGATAAAGTAATCGCCGGTCAGTTCTAGAAAGTTACTACTGCGCAGCTGTTTAGTTCTAGATAAAGCCTTCTGATTGGTCGGTTTAAGGAACCTTCAATTCCTTGCGCAATCAATTATTACTACTAAAGGAACTAAAATATAGTTAATTTCTTTTGTACAGGAACGTGCGCTGTTTTCAAGGATATCTTGACAACAGCTTGGATTATGACATCGTCCCATGTACCTTGAGGGTCAGAATACTGAGTACCCTTGCAGCTTCCGTCATTGCTGACACGTCCGGCCAGGGTAAGGCTATGGAAAAAGCTTTCATTAACTCTTAGGTCATGAATAATATTGTCGGCTCCTAGTGAGAAAGTTCCATCCTGTATTTTATTTTTCAAAAAATTTTTTATTTTTATGAAAGCTAATATATAATAACGCGTTTATATAATAATAATGGATACTAAATTTAACTAAGTAGAATACTTAATATTTATTCAAAAGCGAGGATATAATTAATTAAGTGTGCATTGTTTGTGCAACAGTTGATGAATCAATATTATATCATTGAATTCTCACAAAATTAAAGTAGTAATAAGAAAATTGAACGTATATACACTATTTTGTTTCCACAATTCGAACATTTACGAGGATTCGGATTTCCGTCTAAAAATCCGTGGCTTGTTGCTAATTCATAAATTTCTGGTTCTCTAGGTGTATAACAAGATATACAAATTTTTTCATTGGCTTCTTTGTTCTGATAATATATTATCCGTACACATTTTATATCATATAAATTTGGAAAATATTTTAACAAGGAGTGTATTTTACTTTAGGGGGTTTAGTTATGCACATTTTAAGGAAAATCTGTTTGTTCGCCGCTAACAGTTATTATTATTGGATCCTCGTAATCGTTAATATCTTCTCCGGCTTCCTCTACTATAGTTATAAATTGTAAATGTTCCAGAGTACAATCGTTACATTCGCGCAGGGCTCGCAGTGTTAATACAGAATTCGAACAATATTCGCAAAAGACTGTTGGATAGCGTAATCCGTCTGAAACGAAATGATAAAATAAGGGGAAGTATAATATTTTACGACGGGTAGGTAATGATTGCCAATAACAAGATTGACAAAGGATAGTTGTATTTTCCACCTTAAGATAGCCTAGGACCTTAGCACAATATGCAAAGCGCAGGTGGTGATATGCGTTTAATGAGGGTAATGATGCTTTTTGTCCTAGGATGGTAATTCGTTGGCGATGCCAACACATCTGTAATTAAAGATAATAGTTATGTTTTTTCATCCTGGTTCAACGTGAGCGAGTTTTAGCTTATTTATATGTACGACCCGGGGTCTATTTTTTATCAAAATTTTGACATTATATTATTACATACATTATATTGTGGTAAAATTTTTATAACTTCGTAAGGACCTGTATATTGGTCGGAAAATTTTCCTCTCGTCGGTTCTTTTAATAAAAATACATATGATTCTACGCGGAAATTCTGTGGGTTAATTC